CGAGACAATCCCATCCCATCCCACCTCCGCTTTATTTTCACCCCTCACTCACCACTACCGTACCACTCACTTCACATCACAAACAACTTCTTCATCACCTCACCCAAAACCTCAAAGCCAAAGCCAAAGCAAAATCAAAGTCAAAATCAAAATGGCCTCCCTCACCGACTTCTTCTCTGCCTTCGACGCCGCCGCCGCCAAGGAGAAATTCCCCCCCGCGCTGCAGTCCGCCGCCGCCTCCATCGACAAGGCCGCCCTGCAGGCTGCCCTGGACGCCGTCCTCGCCGGCGGCGACGACGCCACCGCAGCGGGCAACGACGCCGCCCTGAAAGCCGGATTCGAGTTCGCGGCGCAACTGGTCAAGATGCTCGAGAAGGAGCCCGGGACGACGGAGATGCTGAGTGTATGTTTCCTTCGTTTACCCCCGTGTGGGAGAGTGGGAGAGTGGGTGAGTGGTGCTGATTCAATTGCTCTGTAGCTGTACAAGTACTTCAAGCAGGCGAGGGGCGAGAAGCCGGCTGAGCCGTCGTTTTATCAGATGGAGGTATGTATCCGCTGTTCAAGGGTGAGATGAAATGAAATGGGGGCTGATGAGCGCAGGCCAAGTACAAGTATAACGCCTGGAAGGAGGTCAGCCATATCAGCGCCCAGAAGGCTCAGGCGCTCTATATCAAGCAGGTTAATGATTTGATTAACGAGTACGGTGTCCGTGCGTAGATTGCGCGGTGCGGTTATGGATGGATGGATGGATTGGATTGGCGGTGGATGCTACTTGGGAGGATATACACTACCTATGGAGTAGTAAGAATGAGTTACGCGATGATATGACCTTGGATTGTTGTTTCTGTGGTATACTCTGTAGGCTATATGGCGGGTGGCACTGGCCTCAGCTCACCCTTCCCATGTCTGGCCCAGCCAGTCCGGTTCGGTGTGCGTAGCTGTAGCGCACCAGGGGACTTCGTCCGCCCTGTAGGAGGTCAGGGGTAGATCGTATGGCATCCGGAGCCCGACGAGGACATCGCAGCCCGGCACGTCCTCCGGAGGAAGCCGCGGGAGGTCGCGTTTGAAGCACGGAACCATCACCGCTTGCTGGGCATCACCGGGGACGAAAAGCTGCGGCCACACCATCACTCCGATCTCCCAGCTGCAGATCCTCACTTCCCCGGCATTGTTGACGGCCGCGCCCCACGCCTGGGTAGACAGGTTGGCGGACGTCACCATCGCCCAGTCGATCGTGTCCATCTTCTCGGCGTCCGAGAAGCGGATGTACGTTTTGATGTGTGGTGCCGCGCGCCGGCGGCCGGCTTCCCGTTGGGGGGTTATCGAGCTGCTGCCTCTGCTATTGCTGCTGGTCGCACTGTCTCCTGCCCAGCGGCGCAGATATGGCCGCATGTACTGAAGTTGTTTCTGCTGTGTGGCGCTTTGCAGTTTCATGTGGATCGATCCGCCGGATCCATAGCCGTTCAGGGATCGGCGGATCTCGTCGGGGGTAGGGAAGATGATGGAGTATTTCGGTTGGGGGTCCCTCGCCGCGGAGGAGGGTGAAAGCGAAGCGAAGAAAATGTCTTTGAGCCACTTGTCTGTTTGTCCGAGGGAAGCTATTGACGAGATCTACTGGTTGTCAGAGCTTGATCAAGGCGTGTAGACACGGGATCCTGACCTGGGTGACGATATGTGATGCAGTTTGACCCTGCCCCCTCCGAGCCGGAGGTATCTGGCGAGTTGCTTCTTTCAGAGCGGGCCATCCCCATAGCGTCTTCCTCCGCGAATCCAGAGAGCTAAGCCTCTGTTTGGAGGGGACGCTTGCGATCAAAGCGGCGCGAACTGCACCAAAGTCGAAGCGCGCGAGTTGTTTGACCAGGGGCCCTGTTTTCTTGACGCCGTATTCGTTCAGGTAGGCGAGGAGATCCCTCTTGAATCTAGCGCCGCTGCCGATGGCTCCAGGTCCCTCCGGTTCCCTTTCAGCCTGTTGCAGCGGGAGAAGAGGAGACCGCCAGACGGCCTGGCACATGTTTGCCCAGTCGCCGGGAATCATGTTTGCCGTATGGATGACCACCCTGCTCAGTCAGCAAACCAATAGCCCTGTGCAATAGGAATATCACGTACTGCGCAAGATCGTCGTGACGAAGTAGGATCATCATCTTCGAATGGTGTGTCCCAAACGGTTCGGGCATGTAGGCAGTGATCGCCTCAACATTCGGATATCGGGGACATGCTTCCTGCTTTGGTAAACATCTTCGCTATACACAGACTAGATACTTTGCAAAAATGAAAGAAGAAAATACCTCAATCCGAATCCGATTCGGGGCGTCCTTTTTCCACGATCCATGGACAACCTTGACCTGCACCAGGCGTCTTACGTCCTCGTCGAACTGACTCATGAGAAAGTCCACATCGAACAGGAAATTGAACTGCCAGCATTCTCGGATCATGGGATCCCCAAGGATATCTTTCAACCGAACTGTGTCGACATTGTTGCCTGAGGCAGCAGAAAGGTCCCGGATGTGAGTGAGCTGGATGGGAGATGGGATCAACTGCGGTCGATGACTAGTCAACTCTGCAGATTGAATGGAGGTTTCATTGGGCGAAAAGCTTTTTCGAGTCACAGATGACTCCGTACGGGGTCGTGATGATGGAGGAGGAGTGATGGATCTGTGCAAAGATGCCAAGCCATTTGTTACGGCTGTCGGAATCGCTTCAGTAAGCTCTGGCTGCTCATCAATAGCTGATGGTTTGAACCTCTTGGATGGACGGTCTTCTTGTTCCATTGTGTAGGTGATGGATGAAGAAAAGTGTCTGGTTGACCTCCTAGTTCGAAGCCAAACTTGAGGTGGGCGGAGTATGATAAAGGATGGCTGCACGGCATGCAAAATACAAAGGACACAAGACGACAAGCTGTTCCGTCGACATACCATCCACGGTCAAATTAAACTTAAAAACTCTGGTGTAGATCCTGTGTGCGAATGCGCAGTCGACGAGAAAGAAGAAGATGCAAGGCTAGAAGGACACGAGGATGACCACTATTCTGGTAATCTGAAGGAACATACTCCGCTGGAGTTGATACTAAATGACATACTGCGGCAATCGCAGTCGCAATCGCAGTCCCAATCCAATACGAGAACTATTCAAGGCCATCCACGAGACTCTTCAATTTTATGGAGGAAACTTTTGATTTTTAGTCTATATTACAACAACCTTCTGTTCCACAGTATATATACAAGACCATCTAATGACTAACACAATTGAAGAATGAAATGAAGAAAGCAGTAGTAAGGCTTCACCACATGAACCTCTGAATCTTTCCCGGCTCCTGTGGCCATTCAAAGCCCTTGTACAGGAAGATATACCCGGTGGCAGCGTTGATGGCCAAGAACCAGTACGTCTCCATGAACAATGAGAAATTAGTTGCCAGATCGGCGTGCAGGGCTTCCCGCTCATCCCGTGGCCGCTGTTGACGGTACACAAGAGGCACGGGCTGTGGGGGTAGATGAAGTCGCCACATCACCCAGGGAAGGATAAAATAGCGTGGCTCAACGAGCGGCGCGGTAACAAGCGATAGTGCCGTAGCTGCAAGCCAGACGAGCACAAAGCTCGCTCGCGGGACTCCCTGCTGGTGCTTATGGCGCTGGACGACGTGCTCCTGGATTCGGGCAAGAACCTCGGGAGAGAATGGCTCTGGGGCGGCCGGCGAGACCGTGACTTGGCTGACTTTTTTCGACTTGGACTTGCGTTCGGACTTCTCTTTCTTACGGGCAGCCTCCTTCAACTGCCCTTTCTGAGCAGCAGCCACTTGGTTTGGTTTTGTGATCGGGACAAGCTGAGGCTGTGGCTTGGCGGTGGAGAATCCAAATGCAGAAATGACAGCCCAGCCACAAAGAAAGTAGGCAGGGACCGCAGCATATTTCAGAGCTGGATGCGAGCGCAGAATGCGAAAGACGTAGAAGATATAATGCCGGTTATCGGCAAGGGTGAACGGATGGATGATGGTGTTGAAATGAACGATAGCCAGCATGGTGGGGAGAATGACCAGGGCCGTCAATATCTGCGGAAGACCTTTTTGCTTCTTGTTAAATCCGTAGTCAAAGAATGCAGGTATCGCAGAGCTTGGAAGCACCAGATTGATGACTGGGAAGATCAGGATGGGCCAAGAGAAGAACATGAAATAAGGCCAGATATAGAGCATCTGCGAGAGATGCAGACCTGCTGTGTGAAACTCTTTGTGTCCTGACACATCATCAGTCACACATCCACAGATCCTGGCCCGCAAGACTTACCCAGGACAACTCCATTGTTCCAGAGCACAAATCCACCAAAGGCTGCAAGAATGACGAGATAAGGACTGACTGTGAAGATTACAGGGACAATGTTCCTCAGACCAACTGAAACAAGCGAGATTGATGTCTTGATATAATCTGGGTTCCATCTCAATGAGTACGCGTTGTTCACAGGCGGCCGGGAAAGACACTCACCAAAGAAGGAAGCCTCTGACACAAGCGGGTCGTACAGTTCGTTGTTGAAACCGCTCTGGATGATTTCAATTGGGCTTGTGGCCTGGCTGGCTTTTGAGGACTGACGGAGTTTGCGGACCACCTGCAGCCCCCCGAGAAAGACGGCCACCCAGAAGATGTTTGTTTGCCGAAGAACAAGAGCGGCCAATCCAATCGCAACAAAAACTGCCGTCTTGAGCAGTGATCCAGATCCCGCGGTACGTTTGATATCCCAATTATAGGCTTCAATGACCACAAGGAGGGAGACGATATCCGTGTAATACAGCCCCGAGAAGAAGAACAGCGGCGGGAAAATGGAAATATTCAGCACCGTATGGCTCAACCAAGCTCCAGAAGGGCGCATATTGCGCACCTTACGCAATGCATCTAGAAGAGTCTGCAGCCGCCAGGGAAGGAAGACCGTTGCAGCTGCGACATTGGTAGCGCGGAGGGCTTCAGCGTTGAGCTCCGTCGGAGAGCCACGGAGTGCTAGCGCACCAGCACAAAGGACGTAAGACCAAAGGTAAAGTCCTGGCGGAGTCGTGATTTTAGGGTCCCAATGGAACCACTTATGGTCCCAGTACGCCTGTGCCTGGGGGACATGGAAAACCTCGTCGAGGTACGGATCCGGGACGACGGTATTCACCTTGGCCATCCACAACGGTATCAGCAGGAGCACAAAAGGAACCGCATATCGAGCAGCTCGAGAAATGCCTGATACAGGCCGCACGGCACTCATGGTGTCTATATCTCATATGAGACAAGGGAATTAATGTCACTAGTATGAAGCAAATGAAGGAGAGAAAGTGAAGTAATTAATCTCCGTGGATGAGTTCCAGTTGCAAACGGTTCAAACATCGTCTTTGACAATTCCCCAAAACGGACGATGAAAGAGCCAAGGCGTATGCATCAGTGGATAATTCCATTTCCCTAAATTTCAAAGAGACTCGATGCGATAATTCGCTCTCAGAGGGAGCTTGCCCATTGATAGTCATCGTCCAAATTCTCCCTAGATCACAAAACCTGAGGCTCAATGGCCTTTCCTCTTCCGCGGGGCATCACGCCCCCGGAGATTGCCTTTCTAGCGGAGATGGAGATGGTGACGATTCTCCCTCGTCAACGCTTGGAGGGCCTCGAATTGTTAGGTGTAAGTCGCCGCACGGACTGCTTTGCTGCTATGCGCCGTCGAGATTGCTATTTTCCTCGATATGTCGCGTGTGCGGGGAGATCCATGTCGCGGCATTGCGTGACAGGACTCGGTACAATCACAAACCAGAGAGCATCATAAATGCGACAAACATGGCTCAATTCATGAAGAATTAACAATCAAATCTTCAAACAGGGCCGAGTCGAACCACTCCTACCACCCCGCCGCGCCTCCCTCCCACTATGGCTCGCCCTCCTCCTCAAACGCCAGCGCCGCGCAAATATCCTCCCGCCCGCATGGCTACATCCTGAGCCCCTCTCCCTGATCCTCGAGATCGAAACGCAACATCACGAATACGAGAATGCCTTTTCCCCGCCTCCACCGCTGCCCGGTCAGCCGAGCCTCCGCGACCGCAATCGTGGACAGAGACCGATAGCCAAGGCGCGTCATACGCCGGATGGCGAGCGATACTTTCCTTCGCCGCCCTTCTTACCGCAGAATATCGCGCAGGACAATACACAGACTGGCGAGCCCCCGTCATTACCGTACCATTGGTTGGAGGTGGGCAATATGCTCCTCGACGCGGCAAGTGACGATCTGGTGGATCCGGACCAGATACGGCGGTTGCTTAAGGAGCTGCGCGAGGTACGTATGGCGAAGATACGGTCTGGAGTGGACGTGTTGGATGCTGCTGCCACCGGCGGAGGTGGAGTGGCTCTCACGGGTGTTGGCGCGATGGAGATGGGTGAGTCGAGAGGATTCGTGACGGGGGTCGTAGATGAACTCAGGTATGACGGCCACCCTACTTGGTTTGGGGGACATGACAGAAACAACTGACACCGTGTATAGGAAGATCGGTGCGTCGAAAGAGCAAGCACGGCGGGAGCAGATGGCGGAAGAGATGGCCAATGGGGGATATGATGCCACCCAGGACGATGAAGACGAGATGGAGTTCTAACGCCCTTTTTCCAATGGCTTTTTCTTGCATCATGGAGTTATGGAAGGACACACACGGCGCAAGCTATTGCGATTGAACGAGTTTCAAATGTATATATACCCTATATTTTCCAAGACAATTGCAAATATCCTGCCACTAAACACCATCAACATGCGACGCTCAGGCTGCAAAGACAAGGACAAATTTTCCACAACAAACTGCCTGTATTGAACCCATAGGTCCCAGCTTGGCTAGATGGATAAGCATAAAAAGAATGGTATAATGGCCCACACCGCAAAAGAATGAGCAGAGAACAACAAAAAAGTATCCTTACACATGCGAAACTAAGATCGTAGAATCTCTTGCCCATCCGCTCAGGTCGACACATTGTCAGCCTGCCGCTGCTTCTGCTCCATCTTTTTTCGAGCTGCCAAAATCATATCGTCTCTGCGCTTCTGCAACAAGCGCTGTCGCTCCTCTTTGTTCTGCGACCACCCGCTGGTCGATATCTGCGATGATTGTTCGCTGGTAGCGTCGGCACCATTGATTCTCGAGCTGAGGTTATATCGGGAGATCAAATCTTGGCCGTCAGACTTTAGGGAAGCCCCGGACGCGGACGAGGGCTGCGCAGCTGCCGCTGCGGCAGTAGTAGTGGGTAGAGCGATCGCAGGCTGGAAAGAGGGTGGTGGCTATCCACAACATCTCATTAGTTTCAGTCGCTTCAACGGAATCGAGACGGGCCCGCGTGGCGCATCGTCTGCATTCCGCGGGTGATAGATAGATAGGGAATCGCGCCGGTACGTACCATATCCAATCCCCGTCCACTGAGAATCCGCTCCGTAGTCGCTGCGACATTCCCCCCATTGCGCTGCAAGTCCCACATGATCTCGCGAGTGCTGAGCTGAGGGAACATCTGAGCTATCTGTTCCACCTGGGCTGGGTCGACGATATTCCCACGGCCACGGATCCGGGAGCCGCCTGCATCGGGACTACCGTCGCGTTTAAGGAACCATCTGATAACAAAGAAAGAAACGACTGCTAACGTGAGCAGCGATGGGATGTTGAGCGAAGGTTCTTCCTCGGGCATTGTTGTCGGCTGAATGACTGATCAGGACGACCCGCGTATGAGACCAGAGTTGATGTATTTGGCCAGTGGCACGTGCTGGGGTAAATGCAAGAGATAGTATTAAGTGAAAGTAATAATTTAGCACAAGAAGAAATGGTCAGGGTTGATGTTGGAAAATGATTAAATGAACAGGTGCCAGGCAATCACTAAAGTCTGGAGATAGTGATGATCACCCGCAAGGTGGCGGTGGACAGAATGACGGAACTCGGCGACGTCTGACAGTTGTTATTCCGGACATTAATCATTATCATTGGTCCATAAGCAACACAAAATTGGCGACGTCGCAGTTCTATATTGAGATCTTGTCGAGAACGAGATATCTGGATAAAAGGGAGTGGTCACTGCCATGAAAACTGAACAAGAAATATACGCCAGACCCTATAATTATTACGGCTGCCGAGGTATTCGGGTCATCCTTAAGCGATGATTCATTCTTATCATTTACCAGGGGTACCTATTTCTTTGAGCAATTGGAAAAGGTCATCATTATGCATTCATCATCACCAGGAATCAAAGCAGAGTCATCCAAGAACCATGTATATCACCTAGAAACACCACCTCCGAGATTCCAGTATGGCCGATCACAGATGATATCCGATCCAGTAAGCCCAAACACAATTCACAAACCATATACCAGGGGGGTACCTGAACAACAAAGTCAAGCAAATGAATATAGACAGGAAAAACAAACGGCAGAAAAGCCATTATTTCATATCGGCCGGTGTCAGAGCTTGGACCACACTGGTACCTTCGCTGAACCTCGTCCGGAAGATACGGTTGGCATTCTGGAACATGCCGTCTTTCAGAGAAACAACAATGAACTGAGAGCCCTTGAAACGGGTCTTGATCAACCGACCAATGTTCTGCGTGTGAGACAGATCCAGCGCGGCGTCCACTTCGTCCAGGATATACATCGGCGCAGGCTTGAATTGCAGGAGCGCCATGATCAGTGCAAGGGCAATGAGCGATCTACAAGCGTTCAACATGTCAGCTGCGGCAAATACTCATCACAGATGTCAAACTCACCGTTGACCACCAGACAGTTCAGTCAGACTCTGCTTCCACACCTTGCCTAGAGACACCTTGACCTCAAGACCATCCGTGATATCCTTGCCCTCGGGAGGGTCCAATTTAGCAAAACTGCCGGGTAGTAGCTCTGCGAAGATTTGACCAAAGTCACTGTTGACTTTGGTCCAGGTCTTGTGAAGAGCTTCCTTCTTGTATTCGTTCAGGTTGATGATGGTTTCCTCGATCTTGCGCTTATCTCTGATCACAGTCTTCATCATATTCTTCAGAGCGGCCTCCTTCTTCTCCACGCTGTCAATCATGTTCATGACCTTGGGGTTGATCTTCTTCTTCATGCCTTGAAACCGCTCGGTGACATTTCGCAAGGTAGCTTTGCATTCAGCGATGTTCTGGCTCTTGAAATCGTAAGGAGTGTGGGCACGGCCGAAATTGTCCTTCTCATCTGCGATCCATTCGTGCTCTTCCTCCATGTGTGCAACAGTTTGGGCAGCTGCCTGCTGCTCTTTCTGCAGCTTCTCAAGCTGATGGCCAAGCTTCTGCATCTCAAGACCCTCCTCGGTGATTCGGGAGTTCTTAGACTTGGTTGCCTCCTCGAGTTCACGCAATTCCTCGTCGAAGCCGGTCAGTTTGGCTCTTTCGTCCTCAAGCTGCGCTTGGGCGATGTCATGAGCGTCCTAGGTAACGGCATTAGCTTAACGTACACGATACATGGGCATTCTCTTCAAACCTTGATTCGGGCCTGTTCGCGCTTCATGGACTGGATCTCTTCCATCTGAGCTTTCAACGTATTCTCAGCCTCGGCATACTGCTCCTCTGCCGCCGACAAATCGCTGCCAACTTGTTCAGATTCAAGCCTTGAGTTTTGAAGCTCTTTCTGTAGGGCCTTGACTGAGTTCGAGTTCTTAGCAAGCTTCTTCTTGAGAGAATCCAGCGTAGTTTGCAATTCTGCCAGCTTGCTATCCTTGTTGTCATTAAATTCACTCATGTCCTTTTCGATCCGTTTGATGTCCTTGGTTGCCTCGGTCTGACGAGTCTTTGCATCAGAGATGTCCTTTTTCAGCTGTTCGATATTTGCTTTCATTTCCTCGACAGCATGGATAATCTGCCACAAAGTCAGAACAGCTCTAAGTCAAATGCGAGATGAACAACCTACCGATGAGGACGAGTTGTTGCTAATTTGTTCCTCTGTCAGCTTGATTTCGTGGCTCTTGAGGTCCAACTCCTGTTTGATAGCGCGGACAGTATCGAGCTTCTTTTTCTCCTTCCTCATTGTGTCTTCCAAGGCTCCGAGACGGCGTTCTTTGCTTCTCATTTCCCGTGTAATCTCATTCAGCTTCTGTAGGGTGACAAGAACGCCACTTGAATTGGGTGAGCTACCACCAGACAGTGTTCCGGACGGGTCATAGACATCTCCCTCGAGCGTGACACTCTTGATCCGAACAGCCGGATCGAACGTCACTTGCTTGGCGGTATCAGCGTCCTGGCATATCAAGGTGTTGCCAAAGACATAATTCATCGCCGCCGTGACTTCCTCATCGTAACCGATTAAAGACAGGGCAAGGTCCACTTTACCCGGCGCGATATTTTGCGCTGCCCCGATCTTCTCCGCGGAAGCTTTGAAAGCAGATATCTTGTTCAGAGGAATGATGGTCACACGCTTACGCAGTTTGCCATTCTGAAGGAGCTGTGTACCAGTCTCCGCGGTGTCGACAACGACGTTGTAAAGACGACCGCCAGCACAAATTTCCAGGGCTGTGGCAGCCTGAAGCTTGTCCTTGTCCAACGTGAAGAGCTGAGCAACCAAGCCCTTGACCTTGGATCGATCGAAATTCGGGTGGGGGTCTGTGTAATTGAAGTCGACGTTTGCCACTTTTCTCTTGAGCCCGTCGGCTCTCTCGCGCAGATCTCGAATGTCTCTTTGCAATTCCGACTGCTCTTGGTAGATCTGGTCTTCTTTTCCAGGCTCAAAGCCGAGTCTTGTGAGCTCCGCTTCCAGCTTCTTTGCTTGAGCCTTTAAGCCTTCCAGTTCGTCGAGGAGTCCCGAGTTTTGTTGTTTTGCCTTTTTGGCTCGAGGCTCCTCCTCTTTGATTCTCTTTTCCAGGTGAGCGATCTTAAGCTTAGCTTGCTCTTGTTCAGTTGCCGCTGCACTGGCGCGATTACGGGCATCCTGTAGCTGCCCTTGATACCCACTTTCTTGACCTTCCTTGGATGCGACACCGGTCTGTAATGTCTGAAGCAGTTCCTCTTTTTGTTCGACTTCGGCTGTCTGTGCGTCGAATTCCGCTTTTGCGGCATCGTACTCAGCCTGTAGTTTGTCGTAGACCTTCCTCTTTTCCTTGAGAACTTTCTCAAGGTCCTTGACAGTCTTTCTGACTGTTTCTCGCTTCTCTTGCTCTTCGGCGACGCTGGCCTTCTTAAGGTCCATCTGCGTGGTCAGTCGGACTAGTTCGTGAGAATTCGACTTGACTTCGTCCTCGAGAGCCTGGAATTTGCCTCCCTTTCGCAGCTCCTTGTCACGAGCAGCTCTGACCCGTTTCATATCCTCTTCCAAGTGAGAGATCTCGTTCTTGAGCTTGGCGGCGTTCTCCTCAAGCGCTTGCATCTTGCGTCTCTTGTTCTCGCATTCCTCGCCGGTCACTCGTAACCGCTCCCCGCTTCGAAGGTAGTCATGAGCAACAACCAGCCGGGTCAAACGCTCTAGGTCGTTCTGTGTTTGCTGAAAATCAAGAAAGGCTCGCTTCTCAGCTCTAAGTTTCTCCAACTTAGGCTCAATCTCCTCTTTCAATAAGCCTTCGATTTCCCGCAATTTCAATTCCTTCTTGGACATTGTTTTAACCGCCTTCTCGCGTCGATCTTCGAACATACGCGTACCAGCCGCTTCCTCAATCATAGACAAAATCTCCACGGGTTTCATATTCAAGACCTTTGTAATCCGGCCCTGCATGATCAGGAAGTTTGGGTTGTTGATGTTCAGTTGGACACTCTGGAAGAGGTTCTGTACTGTCTGCTGCTGAGCACGATGGCCGTTGATCAGGTATTTACTGGTGCCTCCGAGGACGATCTGGCGAGTAACAGAAATGGTCGCATACTCTTCAAATCCAATGGGCGATTTGGCCGTATCCCGGTTATCGAAGACGATGGTCACACTAGCCTTGGTAACACCAGCCTGTCCGCGCTTGTAAATGAGATCCTGAAGGTTCTGCGCACGAACGGTTGACATGTTTGTAATTCCTAGAACGAAACAGATGGCATCCAGGATATTCGATTTACCACTGCCGTTCAGGCCAGTGATGGAGTTGAAAGATTCGTCCCTGCGTGTAATGGTCAGCTCCCTTCCAGCAGTAGTGGCACAAAAGCAAAAAGATTCAAAGTAGCCGTCGACTACAGTCTGCAATCTATAGAGCCATCACAAAAGAAGCGCATACCATCCTGAGATAACAGTACGCACAGCGTACGATTTGAAGCCCTATCAGCAACGATGTCAGCCATAAACGACTCTCTTAATTCGTCGATCCTGACAGCAAAAACTCACGTCAATGACAATCTCTGTGACCCTCATGGTTGCGACTTCGATCCAGCCCCAAGAAACTAGATCCTAAGCGCATGAGATGGTGAGGCAATGGACAGCTTACGGCCAAGCAGTTGTTGATTTGAGCAAACCGTTGAAGCCTGACTGTTTTCGCGCGGGCGGTGTTTTGCCGACCGTAGCCATGTTTATGGATTGCCAGTTTGGGGATAGTACGCATGATGCTGATGATGTAAGCTCTGGAGGGGTCAATTTGATCACATGATCAAGTTGATCTAGTACCGGCTCCCCTCATTGTTCCCATTGAGTGCTCAAAAATGATTAGATAGATAGATGTCTTAAGTCAAACAATCAAAAGGAATGTTAGTGATTGTTTCTCACTCTGTGTCTCCTAGATGTGATAGTTCTATAGTCCTAGTCTTAATTATCCACTCTATAATCCGCTCCCAGCGCACTCCCGTAGTTCCATCTGTATATCTTCCCATACTATTTTGAATTATGTGCTGTCGCACCCATAGCTAGCCCTTCATCATTTAATGCTATTTAATCCCAATAAGACAGTATCTATTTGATCCATTCCTCAGAAACCAAAGGTGGATATCTTCTAGAGGAAGGAATGGCGATCTATTTTCCTCTAGTCCTGGCTAGCAATCCAAGCATACGTCATTACCAAAGGCCCTTTCCAACAGAGTACGGAAGAACTACCTACATACCAATGCAACCCAATTGCATGATCAATAGACGTCCTTTACTGGTTACATTAGCAGTCAGCTTGCCAATGATGCGCATAAACACCCTGTCCTCGTCTTCCAGGGTTCTCGCGGAGAGATATCGGACACTTTCGAATCCTCATGTTTGCAATAGGGCTGATGAGCAGATTATATGTCACGAAGGGGTATAAAGTCTCCAAGATGTGTGTAGGAGAATGACTCTTCTCGTCAGACCAGTTCATGTCATCTTTGAAACACTTTATCGTATCTATTATACTCGCTCTTCAACTTCACCAAAATGACCCAGATAGACTACCTCCAGAAAATGTTCCAGACCAAGGAGTTTACTGACCGCTACAAGTACAGCGAAAAGCTCACTGGGCTATACGCTCAGACCTTGGTTGAGTACTCTGGCGTGGCTAATCCCAGCCAGAAGCCGCTGGTTGTCCTCGACAATGCCTGTGGGATTGGAGCTGTCTCCAGCGTACTCAACCGCACACTTGACGATGAAGCAAAGAAACTTTGGAAGTTGACCTGCGGTGATCTGTCAGAAGGCATGTTGGAACACACCAAGCAGAGGCTTGAAGATGAAGGATGGGTCAATGCTGAAACGAAGGTCGTGGATGCGCTAAACACTGGGCTCCCAGACGCGCATTATACGCATGTTTTTGTCTCTTTTGGTATGCTTTTCGAACAAACACCTCGGAGCTATGAGGGGATGCTGACAATCGCCCTCTTCAACTAGGCTTCCAGAGCTTCCCAGACGCCAACGCCGCCTTGAAAGGTAACTGACCTCCTGTCAGACACAAAGAGAACTGCCTAATAAATGATGCTAGAGTGCTTCAGAATTCTCGCTTCCGGAGGTATACTCGCAAGCTCAACATGGCAGAGGTGTATGTGACCTTGAGCACATTCCCCTTCAAGAACAAACACTCACTCACAAGTGCAATGACAGTCACCTGGGTACCAATCATGAAAGCAGCCATTGAGACCATGCCCGGAAATCTCCCATTCCCAACACATGAAGAGTTCCTCGCGTTTCACAGTACCGGTTGGGACTCGGCATCCTACATCCAGTCTGAATTGGAGAAGGTAGGATTCAGGGACGTCAAAGTCACCGCTGTGCCGAAAGAAAAGTCATTGCCTATCGATGAATTCGTCGAAGTCTGCACAATGATAACCCCTTACGTGCTTTCAAAGGTCTGGACTCAGGAACAGCGCGAGTTGCACGAGAAGGATGTTCCGATGGTGTTGCGGCGATATCTGGAAGACAACTATGGGGCGAGTGGCCAGGTTCCTGTGGAGGCGGTGGCTCTCATCACAACGGCCCTCAAGCCTTAGCATAAACTAAGCAGCTTCCGCTGAATAGAAGATCCAAGATGATTAGGGATCCACATGTACGTGTTAATCGGGCGTGGCATCTATGATTGAGTGACTATAATAAGGAACAAGACCCAGCTTTTTTCATGGTTGAAGGCATCAATTCATAGTTTCGAATGTCTACACTGACAGAATTACCATGAAAAGAAATCAATGTCAGATATCCCAAGTTCCCATAGAAGCCACAAGAGGCCGGAAAACACCTGACTGCTCGGGAGTAGAACACCGGCTACAACACCTGAACCGCATCATAGAAATTTGGTAGTCAACCCAACGCCGTTGCTTATACATAAACTGTGCTTCCACCAGAAATTATGAAGCTTGATGAGGAAATCCAAGAGGGCGCGCAAGACCCCTGTTGTGATCCAGTCTGTTGTCCAGGTCCTCGTAGCGAAGAATGAACTCACGCTGTTGATAACAATGTGGTTAGCATTCCGGGGCAGATCCGAAACCGGGACAAGAGTACATACCCGAATCTTCTTCCAGGTAGTGGGATCCCAAATCAGGTAAACGCCGCGTTCGCTGACGCGAGGTTCGACATCAACAGGACCGGGATACGTCTCGTCACGTGTAAGCCAGCATCTTTCAATCTTATGATATCTCCACTTGCGACCCATCAACTCTTCTGCAGCTAGCTCTTGCATAATGTCGCGAGGCATGCTGTAGAAGATGTAAAACAATGTCTCATCGCTGAAGCTGGGTATACGGGTCTGTAGAGGCTGGATATTTGCAACGCTGTAACATGCAGGTAAGGAAAAGTTTTGTTCCATCGGAACGGCCGACATGGACGCAACGAAAGGTGACGCAAAAGAGGTGTGAAGGGGCCTTCGAACCATAAATGTTAGTCAAGCAAAGGAAAAGTCTTCGGTGTCATAATAGCAACAACGTACTCAGGCTGATTTAAATCCAAGCCGAGAGTCATCAGATCTTGACCCACTGCAAGACTCGCGACGTCGGGGCTGTCACTGTGGATCATCCGGAGCAAGCCTGCGAGTCCAAACCTGTCGATCTCGCTCATCTGAGCAAGCGGTGGCTGCTCAGTGCTTTGCACAGCTGCAGCGACGTCCTGTGCCTCACCGGCGGCAGCCTGCGGTTGCTGCGCCTGCTGTTGCTCTGTGAAATTACGCTGATTCGCCATGGTAGTATTGTTCAAGTCCTGCAGACTGAATTTAGCAATGAAATTGGAATAGCGCGAGTGGGAGAGATTCCTGACCTCTTTTTCTGGTCCAGGAACTCCATTCGGTCCTTGGTTGACGGGCGAGCGTGAGGTACCGATGGCTGGGAAAGCGATCAGCATCCTGTTCACCGTCGGAAAAATTAATGAACATACCTGCCGACCCCGCATTCGTAGGCGACATCATTCTCGAAGTATCCTGTCCATTGATCGACGCTCCAATAAGGGTGCGATTTTGAGCAGACTGGTTCTGGTTTGCGCCTGCGAAAGGCATCGTGCCGCTAAAATTACCGAGTCCAGCACTTTGCATCAACGATTCTCTGCGATCTTGGCCGAGATCTGTAGGGACATTACGTCCGAGAGGGGGGAACTCTTCAATGTTGCCTGTCTGTGGCTGACCAGAACCTCCTAATTGACCACTAATACCCTGTCCACCATTCCGAAAATCGTCCAGACGATTTGCGAATTGAGCACCAGAGGGAAATACATCTTCGTGGGATGGCTGGGATTGTTGTTGCGGATGATGCGACTGTGTCTGAGGGGCGCGTGAAGGTGCTTGGGATGTCGGGTGCTGCTGCCTCTGCGGAGTCTGCTGCAGGGCACGCTGACCCCACACTAGCCCTGGATTTGGAGTCTGAGATTGCTGAGGCGCTCCTGATAGCGAAGGGAAGTCTCTGTGAGGACAAAAGTTAGTGGTGGGGATCGAAGAAGAAAAAAACCTGTGCTGGCAATTTGACAACACTGAAGGCCTTTCGAGAGGAAACGAAGTCACCCATACGATAGATCAAGAGGTGTAGCAGGCTGCGATCCTCCACTGAGGCTTTGCGCAAATGTTCCCATAGCTCCAATGTTGCGCTGCTGATTTCCTTGTATTCCTGGTGTCCCGCTGACGGGTAAGTTGAAATTCCAGTTGGCACCGCTCCCTGTAGACACTCCTCTCATCAGCAATGATTCCTGCCATAGGGCTTCGGGATGTAGCAACAATGTATCCGCACCGAGTTTTCCGTTAGGCAAGCGCGCCGAGGCCAGTGTCGCATTTCGAGCCTGTGCTTGTTGCTGTGCGGGGAAACCAGACATGCCTCTCAAAGGCTGTGGGCCGGGTCCTGAAGAGCAGTAATGTATGATCAGCGCTAACGTAACGAAACAGTGAATAGGTACCCAAAGCCATGGCGCGATCTCAGGTAGACAGCCCCAGACGGTTTGCCAGAGGCCTTGCCAGAAGGCTTGCCACAAGGCTTGTCCGTCCATGGCGTTCAAAGTCCCGAATATGTTCGAGGATGGACGTGGTGTGAGAAGACGACAATTGGATCATGGAAATCACTGGGAGAATTCTCCTCTTCACCAAGCACCGTGGGGCTACATCTCTGACGCCGAGAAGCTATACATGAAAGGGTTTCATCGCACAAAGTGACCATTCAATGTTGCTATAGCGGAGCAAGACCAAAATAGCAGAAACTCAAGAGAGAAAGAATTCAACGCACCTGGCCTGTTCATAATAGTGTCTGAGCCTCAAGGAGTAATCTGTGTAGTGAGAGGTGTGTAAGGAGAAAAGTAGCAAGGGATCACGAAAAGTGTAGAGAGAGTATTTGAACAACAGTGCAGCTTCACCTCCGTCCTCATGCGGCGACTACTTCTCTGTTACTGGAAGGTGGAGTGGCTATTAACGCGCGCTTCTTGTGAAGGGAACGCACAGACCATATAGGATCAACCGCCTAGCTATCTACTCAGATAGAGAGATTTTTCTGCAGAATATAACAACTAAGAAGGCGGTGTATGGACTAATTTCTATAACAAAGAGTGATATGTTAATTAGGCCATAAGAAGACTCCAGGTACTCTCATTTCTTGCTGGAAGCAAAGGTGATAAACGAGAAATAGTTGGTGCTCCGTAGCCATCAACTGCAAGCGACGACCTCTAAAACTTCAACATGGCTACCTCAAGATGAAATTGGTGCTAAATCTGATAGTAATCAAAATATTTCTTTTTCTGTACTCAAGGCAATACGTATTAATAGATACTGTAGGACAGAGTGTAGTACATATTCCGGCGCTGTCAACGGGAATGGCGGCTAACACCACGTGACTCTTTCGCGGAGGTCCACTCCCGCCTTTGAACTCACGCCGCAAAAAGGTCATCTTACCGGTCTCCCCTCAAGGATTGACTGCCAGCCAACTTTGTTCAATATGCATCGCCAGTCAGTCACACGGCTTACTCGTCAGTGCCGGAGTCTTCCGCTGGTCGAACTGCCTCCTCCTTACCTCGCACCGTCTCTCCATTTTTCCTTGATCCGCTCCCCGGTCCAGTGCTCGACTTTTTCCTCGACCGCCGTCGTCGCTGGCCGTGGACGTGATTTGAACAAGACCCGCGGTGTCTCGGCTATTCACCGTACAGGCCCCAGATTCAAGTTGGGCGTGTCAAAGTACCCATTGCCGAAGCCTGTCTCCCCCGAAGCAATCGAGAAGCGCGAAGTGACCCCGGATCACGGACTCTGGGGGTTCTTTCCCAAAGATAGATCGGCACTGAGCACACCGGAATATGATGTTGCTCACGGTTCGTGTTCACCATCCTGATTTTCTTACGTTTTATTCCTCGTCGGCATAGATTGTGCTAATTGTGGCTCATCAACTAGGCCGTTCCTGGTCCATCCAAGAACTTCGGGACAAGTCGTGGGAAGACCTTCACTGCCTCTGGTGGGTCTGTGTCAAGGAGCGTAATCGCATAGCTACGTCCAATCTTGAGAGACAGCGTCTAAAGGCGGGTTACGGAGAGTGGGAAGCCAATGAAAGAGACAGAACAGTGAGTTCTCATCCCTTCCCGGTCCAGACCTTCATATTTTCTATCTTCCTCCCAACTTGGCTTTGTATCTAACGGATACTCGATGGCTTGAATCCGTCGGTACCAATGCGCTAAATTTCTTTCTTCGAAGCACGCCTCACTAATCTTTTTCCTGTTGACAGATCCGCATTACACAAAATGGTATCAAGCACGTTCTGCGCGAGAGGTGGTACGCTTGGGAAGATGCGCAGCGACTATACAAGAACGGATATCGCCCACAAGACGAGGAGACTCAGGAGTAGATGTTGACAACAGGCAGCTGCTCATGCAATGACTTCATGTTGTCTGGACTGTGGTTCTCACAAGAGGAACATTTCACATGTACTATATTGTACTGTTTTCTATAATTCGGTCATTGTTTACCCCTTTGGTTGCGAAAGGGTCTTCGTATATTTGTCAAGTCGTCAATCAGAAAACATTCAAGCATATACTTATACATACCGCCCACTTCACGTTCATTTGTTTTAGCACGATGCCAATCTCCGTAGCGCCAATAGTTTAGCCCACGGCGTCTGTAGTTGATAATTTTAGGCTTATTTTAAGCTATTGTGGCCCGAGATGGGTGCCATGAAAAAGGGGGGATACTCAGGAGTCAGGAGATCACTGTTCTATGTGATTTGATTAATTGTCAATCAATTAATAGTCGTCTGTATCATATCCCAAGCTCATTTAATATGAACACAGCGGCGTACTTCTCCTCACCCCCTTGTGGGCCCAATACTTAGCTGGCCATCAAATCCCATCTGCTGGTCCTTGGTTAATGATCCGCGGGGGGCTTCCAGCAGACTAGCTAGTCTCCGGGCCTACTTCGACCACCACAACTAAACTAAGGTATCTACTAACTACAAACTCACCGCAACCTTCAGTGTCTCCATATCTTTCCTCCTTTCAAATTCATCTTCCCCCAATCTCACGCGACTTCCACTCCTCCTTGCTTATTTTATTGTTCGTGTTTGCACCCGTTCCGACCATTCATCATGGAAGAGATCGCCCCCGAGTATGATGTTGTGGTTCTCGGCACTGGTATGTATTACCCCGCCGTTTGACAGCTGTAGTGCTAACGCCCCTCGCAGGGTTGACGGAATGTGTGCTTTCTGGGTAGGGGATTTTGATAAGATTTATCTTCGCGGCCTGAACAATAGCTTATTGATATTACGGACAGTGTCCTCAGTGTCAAGGGAAACAAGGTGCTCCACATTGATCGCAACGATCATTACGGAGGGTAAGAACTGGGGTAGCTACCCGATCAACCACGTCCCATCCTACTGACACGGTTTTTAGAGAAGCTGCTTCTGTGAACATTGAAACTGTGAGTCCATCATTCAGTTAGTCTATTTTTGACAGTTGCTGATGCCTTGTTTGTTTTGTACAGCTTTTCAAGAAATACGGCAACGTCCGCCCCGGCGAAGAACCCTGGAAGAAATATGGACGAGTCAACGATTGGAATATTGATCTGGTCCCAAAGCTGCTCATGGCAAACGGCGAACTCACGAACATTTTGGTCTCCACGGATGTCACGAGATACCTTGAATTCAAGCAGATTGCAGGCAGCTATGTCCAGCAAGGAAAGGGCCCCAAAGCCACTGTGGCCAAGGTGCCCTCGGATGCTGGTGAAGCTCTGCGTTCATCTCTCATGGGCTTGTTCGAGAAGAGAAGAGCTAAGAAGTTCCTGGAGTGGGTTGGTGAATTCAAGGAGGACGACCCCTCTACTCACCAGGGTTTGTCTCTAAAATTTTGCATCTGCTTCAATTGCTAATATGCAGGGCTCAGGTATGAATGTCGCTCAGTGCACAATGAAGGAGGTTTATGACAAGTTCGGACTGGAGGACAACACCCGCGACTTTGTCGGTCACTCCATGGCGCTTTACCCATCTGATGAGTACATCACAACACCTGGGATGGCCGTCGAGACCATCCATCGTATCCGACTGTACGTCAACTCCATGGCCCGGTATGGAAAGTCCCCATACATTTACCCTCTCTATGGTCTTGGTGAGCTTCCTCAGGGCTTTGCTCGTCTGTCTGCCATTTACGGTGGCACCTACATGCTCAACACCAGCGTCGACGAGGTTCTCTACGACGAGAACGGCAAGGTTTCCGGAATCAAGGCAACCATGAAGGATCGGGAGGACAACAGCGAGGCGATGAAGTTCACAACCAAGACAAAGAAGATCCTGGCGGACCCATCTTACTTCCCTGACAAGGTCCGGGTCACTGGCTACCTGCTGAAGGCCATTTGCATCCTGAAGCACCCCATTGACAAGACCGATGGCAGTGACTCGCTGCAGCTGATTATTCCTCAGTCTCAGGTTGGAAGGAAGCACGGTGAGTGGACCGAGTGGGAGTCTGTTTTATTTTAAGTCTTTACTGATCAAGATCAGACATTTACATTGCCATGGTCTCCTCCGCCCACAATGTCTGCCCCAAGGGCTACTACATCGCCATCGTTTCTACTATTGCTGAGACTGATGCAAACCACCACCTGGAACTGGAACCCGGATTCGAGCGTCTGGGCCAGATTGAAGAGAAGTTCTTTGGTGCTCCCATTCCTCTCTACGAACCTTTGGAGAGCGGCGAGAAGGACAACATCTTCATTTCTAAGAGCTACGACGCTACCTCCCACTTCGAGACGACAACAGGTATGACATCAGCGAACAATTCTGCCGTATCACAGTTGCTAATGGTCAAAACAGACGACGTGCGGGACCTTTACAAGCGGGCTACAGGCGAAGACCTGGTGGTTGAGGGTCTTCGGGAGGACCAGAGACTTGCGGAGGATTAGATGTGCGGGCGCTAGGCCCAGCATGAGGCTTTAATAATATAGTGTCATGTTTGGATGTTGCTGAATTGGGCCGTAATATCTTTTGGATTCCTGTTCGTCCTTGCCATCCAGCATGAACAATTAGCATTCTGGAACGCGCACACACTCGCTTTGCTTCTGACTGTTCTGACAGGCTGTAGTAGTGCACGCCTGGTATATGTTGAAATTCAGCACGGTCTTGCGGGCAAATTCTTGATCATAAATGCTGTCAATAGGCTGAAATTTGAATTGCTTATAATATCCATAGTCTCGCAATAAGGAAAATGAAACAAGTCACAGTCAAGTTTCATGCCCCCAGTCTATTTCTAGCACACCGAAATTCCGATGACAGAACAGAATACTAACAAGGTATCTATATAAGTTCGGGACAAAGAGAGAACGCACATCACATCTTTCCACTCGACTCCGGATCCGTATTCGC